ATTTTCAACTGGGGCAAAGATTCGCAGTCGTTCGGAGATAGATATGTCGGGGAGTGGAAAGATGACAAAATGCACGGTCGAGGATTTTACACTTATGCAGATAAAGGCACCTATGAAGGCGAATATAAAGATGGTAAAAAACACGGTCGAGGAATCATGACATGGGGCAAAGATACTGAATCATTCGGAGATCGATATAACGGCGAATACAAACTTGGGGAAATGCACGGTCGAGGAATCTACACATATGCAAATGGAGACAAGTACGATGGTGAATACAAAGTTGGGAAAATGCACGGTCGAGGAATCTACGAATATGCGAATGGAGACATGTATGACGGCGAATACAAAATTGGGAAAATGTACGGTCGAGGAATTTATACATATGCGAATGGAGATAGGTATGACGGCCAGTACCGAGACGGGAAAAATGATGGGAAAGGGATTTTCAACTGGCGCAAAGATTCGCAGTCGTTCGGAGATAGATATGTCGGGGAGTGGAAAGATGACAAAATGCACGGTCGAGGATTTTTCACTTATGCGGATAAAACCAGCTATGAAGGCGAATATAAAGATGACCAAAGAGACGGTCGAGGAATTATGACATGGGGCAAAGATACTGAATCATTCGGAGATCGATATAACGGCGAATATAAACTTGGGGAAATGCACGGTCGAGGAATCTACATATATGCAAATGGAGACAAGTACGATGGCGAATACAAAGTTGGAGAAATGCACGGTCGAGGAATCTACGAATATGCGCATGGAGACATGTACGATGGAGAATACAAAATTGGGAAAATGTACGGTCGAGGAATTTTTATATATGCGAATGGAGATAGGTATGACGGCCAGTACCGAGATGGGAAAAAGGATGGGAAAGGAATTTTCAACTGGGGCAAAGATTCGCAGTCGTTCGGAGATAGATATGTCGGGGAGTGGAAAGATGACAAAATGCACGGTCGAGGATTTTACACTTATGCAGATAAAGGCACCTATGAAGGCGAATATAAAGATGACCAAAGGGACGGTCGAGGAATTATGACATGGGGCAAAGATACGGAATCATTCGGAGATCGATATAACGGCGAATACAAACTTGGGGAAATGCACGGTCGAGGAATCTACATATATGCAAATGGAGACAAGTACGATGGTGAATACAAAGTTGGGAAAATGCACGGTCGAGGAATCTACGAATATGCGAATGGGAATAGGTATGACGGACAGTACCGAGACGGGAAAAGGGATGGTGGAGGTATTTTCACCTGGGGCAGAGATACGCATCCGTTCGCGGATAGATATGAGGGCGAGTACAAAGATGGCAAGAAAAGCGGTCACGGAATCTACACATATGCGAATGGGAACAGATATGAGGGCGAGTGGCAAGATAACCAAATGCATGGTCGAGGAATCTACACATGTGTGAATGGGACTAGGTATGACGGACAGTACAGAGGTGGAAAAATGCACGGTGAAGGGATGTTCTCGTGGGGGAAAGATACGCACTTGTTCGGAGATAGTTATGAGGGGGTGTACAAGGATGACAAAAGGTGCGGTCACGGAATCTACACATATGCGAATGGGGACAAGTATGACGGCGAGTGGCAAGAAGACAAAATGCATGGTCGAGGAGTTTACACGTATGCGAATGGGAATAAGTATGATGGCGAGTATAAAGATGGGAAAATGCACGGTCGAGGGATGTTCATATTGGGCAAAGATACGCAATTGTTTGGAAATCGATATGAGGGCGAGTATAAAACTGACAAAAGAGACGGTCGAGGAATTTACACGTTTGCGAATGGGAACATGTATGATGGGATGTGGCATAATGACAAAATGCACGGTAGAGGAATTTATACCTGGGGGAGGGATACGGAATGGTTTGGGGATGCATATGAGGGGGAGTGGGAAGATAACATGATGAACGGTCGAGGAATTTATACAAGTGCGAATGGGACAAGGTATGATGTGAACTACAAGAGTGGTGAACGAATTGCGGAGAAGCGTATACCAGGTACACGAGTGTGATGTCTTATCACATGGATAATTCTTGGTGAAAAGGAGTTCATCATTTATGTGGGAGTTTTTGATAGAATAACTCTTTTACGGTTTACCGCTTTTTTTATTTTATGTGATTGTGTCTTATTGTTACCAGTGAAGAATTTGTATGATTTAGCTCTACTACTGAAAGCGTTTTCCGTACAAGGGAAGGTTTTTTTCTTTTAACCGTAACACAGCAGAGGATTGGTCTTCAGCAAGCGGTTTATCATCAAAATGATGTCCATTCCCCGGAGTATATTCGTCGTAAAAGAAATTTAAAATATTGGTTATTCTTCTCTGTAGAGCGACAGCAATGCTTGAGTACCGTGTCTGCAAAATAGTTTTGACGCGTCCGGTAGGAAGTTTAAGCTATAGACACTGTACCAACGGAAAGCAGAGAAGGTAACCAGCATTTTGGCAAAAGAAGGTTTTTGAAAAAAAGCTTTCTGGGGGCCGGCAGACTAGAACGTATCGATCTCTGGTCCGGTGACATTTCTAAAGCTGATTTGCAAACGTTTGAGCTTGATGAAGAGATTCTACTTGAGCATACATATTGTATCCTTAGGAAACAGATCAACCAGCATCAGTCATAAATGATTCTATAACTAACTACTGCTGACAAACATTTTACTCGAAAACATTTTGGATGGACTTGAATCAAGGAGAAATCGGTAGACGACAAGTTGTTTTTGTTCTGTTAAAGGCGATTCTAGAATACCAATAGAGAAGAAAAAGAAATAACAATAAAAGTAAAGTCTAAAAATGGCTCGAAAAATTAGCGATACACTCAGGAGGATGTGTCAGTCAAAGAACTAAAATAAAAATGAAATAATCCTTATCTCCCAGTCTCTAGTCCTTTTTAGAATTTGCTTTTATTCTATTATTTCTTTTCCTTCTCCGTTAGTATCATCGTGTGTTCCTTTCACTTTAACTACCGTCAGAGGAACTATTTCATATGTTCGTTTATATATGTCGCAGGCATAAATGAAATGTAGGAGAATTTAAAATATTCCTAGAAATAAATAAAATTTTAATATGAACTAGTTCAACTTAAAATTTCACAATTTTTCCATCTATATTAAGTTGAACTACTATCCTTTTCAATGAACCGTGCAGTCCGATGTTTTGCGTATAACTTTTTAACAAATAACGATAGAAAGCTGCGGTTTTCAGTTTTAGAGCGTAGAATCTGGAAGCTATCCGTTTATAGAAAAATAAATTCAGAAATACCACTTGCAGGTGGTAAGTCTCTTCAAAACTTTTTCCAGAAACCTTCTTACCATTGAAGATTTTTTGGATTTTCGATTCCAAACAGTGAACTGGATGTTGATCTACTATTCTCGATAAGTCTCAGATTTCCATCTCTTAACAACCGGGAGCTAGGACCGTTCTCCACAGACCATGCTTTCTCCAAATCTGGAGATTTGGAAATCTCAAAAACACTCGAGACAGAGGTAATCACCTATGAAAGAAAATGCAAGATAAAAGAAAAATATTATTTACACTTATACTCAGTTAGTCCGAGAAAATGGATAAAACTACTTGCTAGGAACCTGAAGAAAAAGTTGGAAAAGATTTCTTCATCTTACGGATGCGTATGTATGTACAAATTTGTCTGTTTCATAGAAAGTGTGTGCATGGTGGGGAGAGGCAGTATGAGAATGAGTTCACCTACAATATCCTGTTCCCTATCAGAATGAGTTTTCTGATTGTTCTAAGTCTTAAAATAATAATAAGTCATGGAAATAAGTAATAAGTGCTAGTGATCGTTAATGATGATTAATAGTAGATGTTGGAGATCTAAATAAAACAATTTATTAGTGTGCAGCGGACTGCGCTCATAACAAGGATCTTAAAAGTTATTTTCTAGTTAGCATGTTTATTCGATTCTCAGACAATCTGGTGGCGAAAATGCGACAGACATCTGCGAATAGTGTATTCTCAACAGCGTGGACCTATAACTGATAGAAAACTGATTTTGAAATTTGCCAACGTGGGGACAAATGTAAAATGAATTAATGACTCGTTTGCGGCAAACGAAAATAACTTTCAAGATCCTTGTTATTAGCGCAGTCCGCTGCACACTAATAAATTGTTTTATTTAGATCTCCAACATCTACTATTAATCATCATTAACGATCACTAGCACTTATTACTTATTTCCATGACTCATTATTATTTTTAAGACTTAGAACAATCAGAAAACTCATTCGGATGGGGAACAGGCTATTGTAGGTGAACTCACTCTCATACTGCCGCTCCCCACTATGCACACACTTCCTATGAAACAGACAAATTTGTACATACATACGCACCCGTAAGATGAAGAAATCTTTTCCAACTTTTCATGGTCTTGTTCTTTACTGAGATTCATATAGATATTTTCTTATATAAAGGCATTTATCTTCATTTCTTCATCGTTTCCAGTTAGCTTCAGTTCGTTCTCTTCGCTTCCAAGCGTTGAAAAAGAATTCGAAAGCGCTCCGTCTTTTCTCTTCACTGCCTTTTTTACTATACAGCTTTTCTTTAAAAACAAATATTAAAATTTTTAGCAACATTAAGCAATCAAGTTACTTTTCTAGGTGTTACTAGTTGGGATTAGTGCCAGAAACGGGCATTATTCCTTCACAGACCTTCGCCTGATTTTGACAAGACTATCTATTCTTCTGTATATCATAAAAAACCATTCACTTAGGGAGCATGTCAAAATGTATTCCGGTCGGTCGGTTGCTATTCCGCTTTTCCTCTATTCCGCTGTTCCTGTAGTCCGCACACAACATTTCGTTTTATAAAAACATTTATATAGATGTATATATAAACTTCGTTTTCTTTTCTAATTTAATTTGATTAAATTAATTTGATTATTTCTTCAGAAACAATTGCCCGCTATGTTTCACAAGATTATTCTTTTATCAATCTATCGAAAACACATTTTTTTCTGAATAGCCTTGAATAACGAAAACTGTCAATATATATCGATGTTTATTTGATTTATATACACATGTTAAAAAAGTAAGTTACGAAAAGCCAAAAAACTATTAAACGAAGAAAATTGTTACGAGCGCAAGCGACAACATTTTTTGTTTATAGTATCCTTAAACTTCTTGGTTTGTCTATACGTGATATATCGCTGTCCATATATATTGTACATATGTTCATCAATGGTATGAACGCGTTGGAGACATAATACTTTGGTTCCTTGTACTGACCCATGAATAGAACTCAGTTTCAACTCTTCATTAGAAAACAGTGCGCTGAATAACAAGGATAATAAATTGTTGAATCCACTCTCTTCTGTTAATAATGCAGTATCTGTGGCATGTTTGGCGCGATTGTACTTCTCAGCATTTACTTGATAGGTCTGTGGTGTGCTTGAACCTGTAATTGTTATTATTGGACCCTACAAAAGAAAAGTTCGAAGCGATTACATCAGTTTCTTCGTTTCTACGACTTATGACTAATTACTTGAAACTCCGATTGCTTTGGTGATGTACGAGCCTTTTTTTAGTATACTTGTTGACGTGCAATTCTAAAAATAGTTTAATGCGATAGTTTTATATAAGTGAAATTAAGTAATAGTATTTTACCTGCATTACTTGACTATGAAGAACTAATAAGGTATCATCTTCGCTTGTTTTTCTTTTATTAATTGGTTCATATAGTGCATGAATCATATCGTTTGCTGTTTTTATAACGACAGAGACGTTGTTTTCGGCCTGTAATGAAGCAAAAGATATTTCGTTATATATTCTGCTTCCCAATTTTTGTTGGCTTACTATGTTATGTTCTTCATTATTCAAGTCAATTGTCTGATATATATTATCATTATCAACCATTCTTGCTAAATTGATACAGGTTTCATGAACATTGTTTGTTTGATTAAAATGACTACCATCTGGAGCCTAAACGAAAAAAGATGGGTGTTCTATTTTTTAAGAATATAGTACAATTATAGATTGTACAAGAAAAACCGTTATCATCAATCTTCTTGTAAGAGTGCGATACTGAATATTCTGTACTCTAGTGAATAGGCCGCTATCCTTTACCACTCGTGGGCTTCTGAAATAGTTTATAGCGTTTGTAACGGTGACTTCATAAAAATTTTTTATTATCTTTTGTGTAACCATTTGAATTTGTTTTGCAGCATCTTCAACTGCGTGTTCATACGATAATGCTCGTTCTTCAATAATATTTAATATTTTCGAACATGATGTTTCTGTTTTATAAATAATTTCTCTTGTATTCACATAATCAGCATTTATACTGCTTAATGTTATTTCC